TCTCTCTCTCTCTCTCTCTCTCTCTCTGTCTCTCTCTCTCTGGGAGTGTTGGTGCATAAACGTCTGGCTGCATCTCTTTCGGGGCTCCTCTCCGTGGTGTGTGGATGTGTGCGTGGTCAGCAGGCTGATGTGATTAGCCAGAGCCAGTGGAGTGAATAATATTGTGTCTGTCCCCACTAAGAAGGGATGGAATGTGGCGGCTGCTGCTTTTTATTATGTAGATTGTCGCTTTTTATCAGACATACCTATCAAGTGTGCACACACCTGTTCACACGGAAGACATCATGTTGGACTTTAAAAGAGCAACCTGAGCAAGTTGCTTTATTTATTGAAATGTTTTCTGTAAAGCTCTCATGATGTATGTATAATCTTTTTGCACATTTAACTCTGCTATCTGTGCGTTTACATCATCACTGTTTCGGGAGGATTAGTTTTGTTAGCACAAAGCTTAAAAGGATTAAAGTATTCTTTGAAAGCTTGAAAGGTAGTTTTCAGCAAATCAAACTATWTAAACATGTAGTAAAAGCAGACAGTTTCCTCTATATGTAATTCTTTTTGACATGTTATCATGCAGACCAGCTGCTGAAGTGACACATTATTATTTGTACTGAAGATCAACAATTTAATAAAGTTTATTCTTTCTGGCCATCTTAAGCTAATCTCCCACAGTTTGGTTTTTGATTTTGTACAGGTTTAAATTTGTGTGTCAGTACATTAGACACTTGCATTTTTTTTCTTTTGATTAGTCTTTGATCTTGTCATAAAGAGATCATGATTCTTGTCTTAAAGCAGAGAGTGATTGTGAACATTTTCTTCAGRATTTAAAAGAGATTTTTCAAAACATTTGAGGCTGCTACTTGCTGCTGCCGCTATTCATGCTGTAAATAACCATATAATTCTATGGTAATGATTTAGGATGCATTAGTTTTGGCTCCGTTAGCACTTTACAGCCCTTTAAGACTCACAGAAAATCTCCATCTTGTTTTAGAGACAGATGGCTATTTGCTTCTGCTAAGAAACGGCTGGGAGGCGTTTAACATCAAGGCGTTTTCTGTTTGAGCGTTGTTTCATGAGGGGCAGTTGAGCTGATGCTGTACTGTTATACTCCGCCTCCAAACATTGGTTGAAATAGACTTCTTATTTAGATAAAAGCAAAATATGCAGGCTCTATTGAAAACCAAGATAATAAATTGTTATAAACTCATTCCTCAGTGTGTGTGTTTAATGTGTGTGTTTACAGGGAGTCTTTGATAGAAACACATGAAAGAATCCTAACCAAGATGAAACAAGAATACCAAAAACAAATGGACATCGAGATAATTCTGTCGCTTAACTTACAATAATGTTAATTATTATTTTGCCATTGATTACAAAAGATTTATTTGCAATCTGAAAGGCCAGAAGTGTTTTCCTCAAAATCATCTTTAAACGGCTTCCTTCCATCCTAATTTTGATGTGCAAAATTACAAACGTGTCTGAATTTCTGAGAAAAGTTAGCATAATTATAAATAAACACTAGGCCAGACGCAATGTCAGCAGATATCGTTTAGAAACTTGGCTGCGTGCAGTCTCATTGTGCAAAAGCAATGACGATGTCATGGTGCTTCAATGTGTGAGGCACTCAGACAAACTGGAACTGAACTTTGTGACTGCGGCCGTTTACAACTTGCAGACAGCAAAGTAAACAGACGTTTAGGACSGGGGCCAAGCCATTGTCGGGGTTCAGAAGAGCTTGATTGGGAGAATCTTGACAAACAATTTAGAGATTGTGAATATCGCACACACAAACACACACACAC